AGATTGCACAATGAACAGAGCTATTATTTGCCAAACTTTGATAGTAACAGTGATAACTAAGGTTTCTCAAGCTCACTTCATTGCCTGATAGAGTAATACATCTGTTCTATTCTTATTAAACTGTATTAAAGGTCATTTCTTTGTTTCAATCCCCAAGGCATGGGTTAAAGAAATACCCCAGGACTTTTCAGCGTAATCTTTTTTCATCTCTACTGCATCTGTAGCATATGTGCAAATACCACACACAGGAATTTCAAGAAGTTTCTCTGTACTGAAAGTAGAACAGAAAAGTCTAAAGGTAGTTGTGGCATTGTGCCAATAAACAGGAATTCCACAGTAATTCTAGAGAATACCTGATGCTAGTCCATCGCAGGGAGCCACACATTCACACACACACTCACTCACACCTAGGGAGAGTTTAACATTGTCAATCCATTTACTGGCATGTTTTTTGGGAGATTGGCAGAAATCAGAGAACCCAGAAGAAACCCACGCAGACATGGAGAGAATATGTAAAACTCTATATAGACAGGAGTCCGAGCTCAGGGACCCTGTAAGGCAGCAACGCTACCTGGTGTGCCAACACGCTGCCTATAATGAACATTTAAAATGATAATAATACGAATTTAGTGCTTAATTTACAAACGATTTTAAGGAATTTTGTGAAAACCACCCATAGACTTCCATTGTAAATGAGTTTTGTTTAATTGGCTTTACTGTTTTACTGTAGCTATAGATTAGGTAACAAAATGCTGGAGTATTCTGTTAAGCCTTGTGCTTAATTCCTTAGAATTGTGTACATACAGTATGTAAGCCAAAAGTAGAAAACCCAATCCATAACTGGTTCCTTTTCCATTACATTTCTAGCGACTGCGGATTTGAGGCAGTTCCTGGTCAAAGCAAGGCAAGGAGCCATCAGAGTCATAAAGATTGTCATAAGGAGTGGTGAGTAAGAGAATTCGCATATTCGTTGCAGATGTATATTACTGCTGTAAATAATGTTCAAAAGTTTAGGAAGTGCAAGAGATTTTTTTTATATAATTCAATGACTGAGAAACTGAAGAGATTAAATTGACATTATTTGTGTACTGAGGACTTGCCAGAGCATGGCTGAAATATGCAGTGCATGCAGTATGTGATAAAGAATTCATCATACCATACTATTTTGAGACTCAGACTGATAAGCTGCCTATGGGGTGTGCGTGCGTGCATGTGTGCACGCGTGTGTGTGTGTGTTTAGAGCAATTGGTGTTGGGGTCCTACAGAGAGCCCTCTCAGAGCTGGGACCGGGACTACGACCCATGTGTTCTGCCGCTGTTGGATTTGTCGGAGCCATGCTACATCCTGTTCCGTCTGGACACGCAGAACCAGCAGGGCTACGAGTGGCTGTTCATCTCCTGGTCTCCAGATCAGTCGCCTGTAAGCACACACAGATACACACTCAGACACATGCCTCAGATACTGTATGTACTGTATGGCACTTTGGTACTCTGATATCACACTCTGACTGTGTGCTGATTCGCTGCCTGCTGCAGGTGCGATTGAAGATGGTGTATGCTGCCACTCGTGCCACACTGAAAAAGGAGTTTGGTGGAAGTCACATCAAAGATGAATTATTCGGAACCACGCAAGTAGGTAGATGTGTGGAGGCTATTACACATAATACCGTATTCTGTTACATATGTCATTATTTTAGTGCTTCACTGTTGACATGACCTTATTGTCAACATTGTGACTGTCATTACTATTATCCACTGCTATTATTATCATATCCATCCATCCATCCATTTATACAGTGTGGGAATATCTATTAATTTATCCATCCATCCATCTATCCATCCATCCATCCATTGACACAGTGTGGGAATATCTATTAATTTATCCATTTATCCATCCATCCATCCATCCATCCATCCACCCATACATCCATCAATCCATCCATCCATTTATACTGTGTGGGAATATCTATTTATTTATCCATCCATCCATCTATCCATCCATCCATCCATTGACACAGTGTGGGAATATCTATTAATTTATCCATTTATCCATCCATCCATCCATCCATCCACCCATACATCCATCAATCCATCCATCCATTTATACAGTGTGGGAATATCTATAAATTTATCCATCCATCCATCCATCCATCCATCCATTTACACAGTGTGGGAATATCTATTAATTTATCCATCCATCCATCCATTTACACTGTGTGGGAATATCTATTTATTTATCCATCCATTCATCCATCTATCCATCCATCCATCCATCCATTGACACAGTGTGGGAATATCTATTAATTTATCCATTTATCCATCCATCCATCCATCCATCCATTTATACAGTGTGGGAATATCTATTAATTTATCCATCCATAAATCCATCCAACCATTTAAACAGTGAGGGAATATCTATTAATTTATCCATCCATCCATCCATTTACACAGTGTGGGAATATCTATTCATCTCAAATGAATCTACTAGTGAGTCTATTCTCTTAATTTAATTAATATTACTCAACAGTTCACAAGTCATGTAAGTAAGGAATAAAACACAACAGAGCGTGCAGTTACAGGAAAATAATCAGTGACGAAGTGGTGTGATGTGGCCCAACGCAAAGTGAAGAGGAGTTACTACCCCAAAGTTGATTATTTTCCTGTAACAGCACATCCTACAGTGTTTTATTCCTCATATACATACCACAGAAATTTGGTGTTGTTTACAATTTTTTATTTATTAATGAATGACAGATTCATTAATTTTTTTCATTCAGTCCACGAAACTATGTTAGTTCCTGTTAACGCTTAAGTTTTAACAGCTATTAACAGCTGTTCTCTCATTTTCTCTTGAAGTTAATAAGACAGAAAATGCAGCTTGTTTCCCAGAAACCGTACAAAGTCTTCTGTCCTGACGACTTTTCAATGGAGGGACAACTTAAAGGAACAGCATTACCTCTGACTGTTACAAGGCAAAGACACTCCTTCCAAAAATGCTAAATAAACAACTCCTTAGTGAAAACTTCACATCAACAATTATACGATTTTTTTTGCTAAATAACAAAACATTTTTATCTTTTTATGATTTAAGATTTAGATTATGTTGAGTGTCTTCCATACAAGTCCCTATGCATTAATATAGAAAAGATAATGTATTAGAACGAGCGCATTATTATTATCATTAACTAGTGATTTGCCTTATCGCCGGCACTACTGTCAGAGCCACATGGTTAAAGAACGCTACAATCGCTAATCTCAACCCCTCACCTTTCCCCTAAATGGTTGTAACATTTAAAATAGCTCTTGTGAGTTCCTGCGAATCTGCAAATGTGAAACCATTTCTGAGTATTTTTAAGTATTAACATCCTGGAGCAGCTCTAACAACTCATCAGATGCTTCCAGGTGGAGAGAAAATGTGCTGGTTTGTAATACTATAATAATAATAATAATAATAATAATAATAATAATAATAAATTTTATTTATAAAGCGCCTTTCCACAGCTCAAGGACACTTTACATTCCAAACTAATAGACATAGGGGAAGAACCAAAAAAAAAGCAGAAACAGAGAGGAAGACTAAAACTAACAAAAGAACAATGATATAAATATTTCAGCTGTTAGGGGAAGAGCCAAAATATTGAAGAAATAAATGCGTTTTAAGTTGTGATTTGAAAGTCGAGATAGAGGTAACATTTCGGAGGTTCTGGAGGAGTGAATTCCAAAGTTTTGGAGCCATGACGGCAAATGATCTACCACTCATGGTGGAGAAGCGGAAACGAGGTACAACGTGTAGGCCTGTATCAGAGGACCTGAGAGTCCATACTGGGATGTAGGGATGGAGGAGCTCAGATAGATAGATCAGATTTATCTGACCTTGCTCTTCTCCACAGGAGGATGTGTGTTTTCAGGGTTACCTTCGCCACATGTCCTCTTCCTCCAGCCCTGGTCCCCTTACTGCAGCTGAGCAGGAGCTCCATCAGATCAAAGCCACGGAGGTAAGCAAGCGAACACTTCATGGTACTGAAACCCTGACATGACCTTCATCTCAAACTGCACTGTAGCTAGCACATGAATGGAGAGTTTTGTTGGGTTTTTTTTAAAACATAATTAATGACAGTTTATTGCTTGAAATGCACCTGACAGGACAAGGTTGTATGGGTAAGTTCTTATTAGTGTGATGTGGTTTAAGATGTGTGAACGTGTGTGTGTGTGTGTGTGTGTGTGTGTGTGCACATGCAATATATGCGCATTTAAAATGACACTATATATTATTTACTTTTTGCTTAGGAGGAGCGAAGACGAGTCACTACTCCGGCTGGGAGAGGAAAGGTAAACTCAACTCTATAATCAAATAAATCATATAACTTCCCAGCTTCCAGACAAATAAAAAGCTCCTGCGTCCCACAACAGGGACTGAACTGACCTGGGCGCAGAAAAGCATTTCAAAATAAAAAATAACCTTCATTGGTAAAGAGAGTGTTTAGTGTGATTTTACAGTTTAGTAATGATCTTTGTGCTACAATGAAAAACGTAATTGTTTTTAAAAATGCAGTTACAGCTGTAACACAATTTTCTAACATTGTTGATAAGAAAAAGGCTACATACTGTATGTGCCAAAGTGCTTCACAAACATCTCACTTTCGTAGGGAAATAGCTGCTCATTCAACTCTTTACAGAATCAAGCCTATATTTGTTTTATAGCACTGAAAACTTACAATCTAAAAATATCTTTTTTCTTGTTCAACCAATGTAGTTATACTTCCTGATTGTTTTATTGGCACTTATATCACTTGTTGTTATTCTTTCGGCTGTTCCCGTTAGGGGTCGCCACAGCAGATCATCCGTCTCCATTATGGAAATCCGGTTTATGGGCCTCATATTTGATTTGGCACAGGTTTTATGCCAGATGCCCTTCCTGACACAACCCTCCCATTTTTTATCCACGCTTGAGACCAGCACTAAGTGTGCACTAGCTCGTGTGACTCCAGTGGCTGGATCTGGCAGCCTACATGGGGCTCAAACCCACAACCCTGAGTTTAAGAGTCTCATGCTCTATCGACTGAGCTAGCTGGCACCTGTTGGCACATATATCACTAAAAAATGATATTAGTGAACATAAACAGAAAAAAATCAGCCAAAGTGATATTTGAACTAGCTAAAGTCTGTTGGAATATAAAGCACAGCTAGTTTAGGGCAAAACTTTGCTTGCTTTGTTTAGCATTTTATAATTTTCTTTATTTTTTGTTCTGCATAGATCACACCATAAAACCCTCAAACTGCACTTTTTTAAATGAATTTATCAAATATTTTTTAATTTTAATTTTTTTTTTTTTTTTTTTTTTTTTTTTTTTTTTGCAGTGTGGTAGTAAAAACCAGACTGTCTTAAATTTCAAGTAATGAATTTTTCTATTTTTGCAGAAATATTTAGAAAATTTTAATTAGGCAAAGAGGATCATTTAAAAATTATTTTTTTACACTTGATATCAAATGATTGAGGTCATGTCCACTTACAGTACCAGTATTTCACACTAAGGGCACACAGCTTTACGATACAGCTTTAATGGCAAGTTGAGCCTGCCTCACATGATGATAATGGTGGTTTTGTGTGTGTGTGTGTGTGTGTGTGTGTCCCTGTCTCTGCCTCTGTATGTGCATTTTCTAACTGGAAGACACAGATAAGTGTGGAGAGTAAGCCGTTGAATCTGCAGGGCTTAGCGTTCCCATTACAGGAGGAAGCTAAACGAGCTTTACAGCTACTCAAACAAAGGCGCATCAACTACATCCAGCTAGTGAGTCCCACCCAAACACACACACACACACACACACACACTTAGATATGTACAAGAATGCAAAGATTAAACAGTGACACTTCATACATTTCAGCGTTAAGGAGTGTCATACACTTCCTTCACACATTCTGACCTTTGTGTTATCATTGTTTGTGCGTGTGTGTGCACGTGTGTGTATTCTCAGAGGCTGGACACTGAGAGAGAGACAATCGAGCTGGTCCATACCAATCCTACAGAGATTCGTGAGCTGCCGGCCCGAATCCCTGCTGATGCTCCTCGCTATCACTTCTTCCTGTATAAACACTCGTATCAGGGCCAGAGTGTGGAGGCTGTGGGTCAGTCCCCAAGCTTTTCAACTGATTTCCCACTACTTTCTTTGTGCACATATCATTCTACATTTGCTTCTATATAAAGTGAATGGAGGAAGCCTCTCCCATCTGTTTGGTGGTCTGGGAAAACCCTTTGGATTGTCGCTGGAACAAACAGCCAAAAAAAAAAGATGAAAAAAAAAAAGTGTTTTGGCAAAATAGGGTGTGCAATGACACTGTATCTGTTTAGTGCTCTGAATTGGGGGTGTCCTAAACTGGATGTTTTTTTCCTCAATCTCAGCTACATCACTCGTGCATCTCATGTTAATGTACGTGGTCTATCTTTGTCCTGTGAAAATCATACCTGACCCCTCGCTTGCACCTGCGTAAAACTAAAAACTGCTTGCTTGTGCAACTTTTTTGTTGCATCCTGCAGGATCCCAGTCCCAATACACACCTTCGGATCAAATTTTTTTTAAAAAATCTTCGTATCTTGTTGGTATCTACTTGTATCCATTTAGAACACATCCCATTACATCTCCATGGCAAAAAATTGGGTCTTTCATGCCTAAATTAAACCATAAATATATTTAACCAAAACATGGATTTTTAAAATTTTTTACTTTTTTACCTTACTTTGGCTGTCTGCCTGCAAAAATCATGTTGGGTTTAACAAGCACACTGGTAAAAGCCGACAGCTAGCTAAGAGTGATTTCCTCACACAGAGAATTTCATGCTTTCAACAGGTTGTTGGATAGCTGTGTGTTGTAATGAAATGGGCATAAGACTTAACAGTTCATTTTGTAATCCATTGTAATCCGAATGTCTGTCATGCTCATGTCATGCTCCTAAATGCAATATTCTACAATAATTAAAAAAGGTTTTTACTTTTAGAAGTAACCAGAATTTAAAATGCTGTAACTTGTAGCTGTAGATACTTGCAAAAGCTTCAGTTCAGGAAGCTCTGTAGTTTCAGAACTATATATAGTAGCAAATGTCAAATTTTCACCTTGTGAAGGGATTTCCCAGACTGCTACACAAGTTTGTACTCTCTTATTGCTTTTACACTGATGTGCTGCTAGTGCTGGTACTTTAGGTTTTAGTGCTAAACCTTTTTACAGTCAGACAGAGGAGCTTTCTGATGAACCATTCGAAGTTCTTCATACCACGCAAAATGAGACATAGAGCAGTATATGTGGTATATGTATATGTGGGCAGTATATGTGGGAAGTGGTAGCTCAGTGGTTAAGACGTTGGCCTTCTGCTCGGACGGATGAGAGTTCAAATCCCAGCACCACCAAGCTGCCACTACTGGGCCCTTGAGCAAGGCCCTTAACCCTCAACTGCTCAGTTGTATAAATGAGATAATTGTAAGTTGCTCTGGATAAGGGCATCTGCCAAATGCCATAAGATGTAAATGTAAAATGTATATCTGCCATTCAGTATTTTTATAGTTGCAAGTAAAATGGTAATTTCTTTATCAAACCATTAATTCATCATTGCAGCATAGATTGTGCCATTTTTAAACAATCTTTTTTTTTTCTTTTTTTTTTTTAAGATCGTATCTTATTGTAATGGCAGTCATGTAATTTTACTTGACATTTCAGACCTGCACCAAAATGTGTCTCTAAGCAGTCAACCAAAACATATCTGCTTATCAGTGGAAAAAAAAGGTTCATTGTTTGTTAACATCTTGTTTGTTCCTGTCCAACCTGATCAGCTGCAAAAACACAGGAAATCAAAAGTAATTTCACTGAACTTTATATGAACTAAACTGTAAGAAAAGCTTCGACTGCTGCCCAACTCTGTGTTTTTAAACCTAATTTCTGTCCACTGTATAAGTGATTGCCACAAATTTCTGTAACGAGGAAAGAATAGAGAGATACAGGGGCAGTTTTTGACTTTCATTTGAAGTGAGTTTTGAGTGAACAGGTTTTCATAGTACTGGGAAATGTGTTGAAATGATTGCTTGTGTGGGTGATAAACACCCACACTACAGAGGCAGTCGATAGACATTAAACACACTGGGATTTTTTTTTTTTAAGAGGACAGTACTTTGCTAGTCTATCTGTTACGGTTGATACTCTGGTCTAGTAATTCTACACAAATTCTTAGATTTAATCTAAGCTAAAGATGACACAGTACACATATATAGCATGTCAGGTGTCGCGAAATACGTCCTGTAATGCAGAAGAGAGGTTATACTTTAACATTCTTATATCATCAAGCATTAATGTAAAGACTAGTGGTTTCCTTGAAGTGGTTTAACTATTAACATATCGTAGATTTCTCTTTCTCACTCTCTGTGCCTGTGTTTCATGTGATTTTAGTATTCATCTACTCCATGCCTGGGTACAGCTGTAGCATCAAGGAGCGGATGCTCTACTCCAGCTGTAAGAACCGGCTGCTGGAGGAGGTGGAGAGGGATTACTGCATAGAGATCAGTAAGAAGGTACTCAGGAATTAGGTCATCCATTATCAGTGTTTATAATCCCTTTTTGAGTACAGTGGTCTGTATACGCCAAAGGTAACATCCCAGGCAGTAGGTAACAGGGTGCTAATGCATCCTGGAAAAACTGGAAAACCTGGAAATTTATAGACCTGTTTTCCAGTCATGGAAAACACCGGGAAAATGAGAAAATGTCCTGGAAAAGTGTAAAGTTGAGCTACTAGGTCACTAATAACTAACTACATCACTATGTCACTAATAATGACAAACCGTATATTTTATGAACAAAATACTTGTATTGCTTTATAACTGATTAAATTTAAAAATAAATATTATTACAATTAATAACACCACCAATAATAATAATAATAGTCATTATTTTTATTATTATTATTATTAGTAGTAGTAGTAGTAGTAGTTTGTTTATGTTCATTATTATTTCTTTTATTTTATTATTATACCAGGAAAATCCCAGTGAGGAGAATCTAGTACATTTGAGATGTTTGTACAGGTTTAGGTGTCAAATTGTTGTTTTATTATTTTTATACAATAAAAGGTCATCTGAACTAAGTTTAACTCACCTATTTAATGTTTAATCCTTTAAATAAACACACTCCAACACTGAGCATGTCGGCTAAGATAACTTTTCATGAGAAGCAGCTATCCTGTGTATGAGTCATGGAACAAATCTTGGAAAGTGATTTCCAAGAAAGAGTGACGACTCTAATTATGGAGCACATTGTTTTTGTGAATAAGACTCCCTTATGTGCAGGCTTTGCTGTGCTGGTTTCTGGGTTAGGACTGATTTTAGGAGCTGATAAAAATACTAAAATACTGCATGAAATCTTTCCAGTCATTTTACATTTTTATTTTTATTTGTGTTTCTAAAGATGGAAATAGACAGTGGAGAAGGCTTAACAGAAGAGTACCTATATGAAGAAGTTCACCCTAAGCCACAGGCCCTGAAACAAGCCTTTGCCAAGCCAAAGGGCCCTACAGGGAAACGGGGTAACAAGCGTCTGATCAAGGGAGTAGGGGAGAACGGCGAAGAGAGCTAGGAGCTAGAACAGAGCTGCGTGAACTGAGACGAAGCCTCCAGAAATGCTCACCTGCAACCTGCTGTCTGACTTCTCTTTCCGTTGTTCTGCCTTCATTAACACTCATGTGTTCTTGCTAAAAGTTCTGACACCCACTGTAATCACAAGGCCACAAATATTAAACAAAACCCTCTGATTATTTTGCATAATATTCAAATAAAACTTGTTTCTGTACATTTAATCTCCAGTCTGCGGTCTGCTTTGTCTGGATTCCGAGAAAGAAAGGTCACGCAAGTACATGCTAAGCCTTTAAGCTCTTTATGAATTAAAAAGAAGCAGGGAGTCTGTGAAAAGTGACAGACGTTAACAACAAAAACTGAAATGCATAGTTTAGACAGTCATCATTAATCAACACGCAAAGAACACAAGCTTTGTGAAGCACACCGACTGATCATCTCCTAAAGCAATAGAACATACAATGTCACAATAAA